ACAATTAAAGTAAGAAATATTCTGATGCCATTGCCATAGCCAGTGCTTCCGAAAGTCAACAAGCTGTATTCAAATATCTTTTCTTATTTTTCTTAAAGTTCATCTCCTTTCCTCCATGCCATGCCATGCCATGCCTTTCCTTTCCTTTCCTTATTCTATTGAAGAAAAAAAAGTCAGTCAAGAGTTTCCTGTTTTTTTTTAAGCTGTACAGCTGCAAAACTATTGAATTAATAGACCAGCTGGTAATGTCAACTATAAGTCAGCTGATATAATAATATTATTTATTTGATATCTATTACAGAATTATTAATATTAATGTATTAGTCTATTGATAATTATAATGATTTAACTGTATATCATATGAGAGGTATTGCAGGTTAGATAATCGTCTACAATTAAATAAAGGATACCAGCAGAAGCATATAGGGCAATATTAATATCCTTCCAAGCAGCGAGCAGTTACAATTACTGATGACATAATACTATAATATCTGCTTGGGAAAATGATAGTTATTGCTTGGAAACTTTGGTTTTGAAAAGTGATATGTTTTTATTGGTAGAAATAATAGTAACTTGACTTTATTTAAGGTATAAAAAGAGTGTCCTGTGAATGGGACTACATGTTTTGAAACTGAAGCTGGACATGACTGGTCAATGTTAATTATGTATTGTATATGTATAATCATGTATATTTCTGATGTATAAAAAATTGTTATTGGACTTTTTATAATAAAATTAATTAAAAATCTGTGATACAAATTAAACTTTCAAATTCCATAGCAGGTTTTTACATCATCAGTAAGATATCAAGGCATGTGTATTGTTTCAAAAATAGTTTTGTGGGATTTTTAGTAAAAATACGTGAAATAATTACTGGGTTTTAATATTTCTAAAATAATTACTGGGTTTTAATATTTCTAAAATAATTACTGTGTAGAAGCGTGTTGATTGGCTTTTTGATAAATTGAATCAATGAATAGTTTTTACCTCAGTCCTTAATATGAGGTTTACCTGCAACAGTGAAACATGGTAGAAACATGATGTGGTTAACAAGTTAAAATCACTGTAGTATTTTGGGCTTTTGTAGTAAATTGCTACGGAATACTGTTTATTTTGTAGCCTGATATTGTTTTCTTATTGTAAAATATGTATAATGGGATTTGAAAATGAAAAAGTGAAATTGGATATAAAAATCAATAAAATAATGATTAATTAAGTCAATTGTGTTATTTTGTTACTGAAGTTAACCAGGCCATTGCTGCCAATATTCATCACATAAATTTTTTTTAAAGACTTTTAATTGCTATCCAAACTAGGCTGAAATTGGATTTGAAACAGACTTGTGGGCATAACCCTACTTTAAGACTGGTATAAGTAAGACAATAGCAAGTTGAATTGTCACCTGATGGGTGATTATGTGCTATTGGTTTGAATCTCCCCATGGTAAGAATAAATCCGATGCCACAGGTAGTGCTTTCGAAAATTTACCCAATGGTGGCTTTAAACCCCATCAACTAACTATAGTTTTTAGCAAGCAAAGTTGCACTGAAGTGAACTAGCCAATTTTAATTATTTTTTATTTCAAAAGATAATAAATATTGTGTAATAAGCCTTCTCATAAAACTGTTAATGCTTTTTTGTGTGTGTAAATTACGCTTAATTGCTTGTGCTTTTCCAATGTCATCACAAATATATTGAATTTACATATATATAAATTATTATTTAAAAAATTGTAGGAAATCTGATAGAACACCAGTTACTTTTTCTGTTTTTATTGTTTTAAGAATAGTATATAGTAGTCTCTTTAAATTGCTATGATTTCCATTCGGTCTTGATAAGAGAGTCTACTGGTGTGATGTTTACAAAATCGTCCAGTATATAATTCCATTGTCAATTATTATAATTATCCGAATGTGAATTGTTCATTTCACGAAAATCTATATTTCTATGAGGAAGTCGATTGTATGGTATAGAAATACGCACCCACGGTGAATAGAAATAATAAAAATCGTTAAGCTGGTTAATCGCATCTACATACCTAAAACGTTGATTATTATGTCCCTTTTAGCTTACTAACAACCGAAGTGTTGGTAGCTGTCAAAACAGGTTCTCTTTCGGCAGAAGGATTACAGTAACTAAGCACAGAATCTCAAACAATTTAAGGTATTTGTATGCTTATTCATTACCTCAAGGGTTCTTTTAGATGTTTTTGCTCAGATTTGTAGTCGATGATTTCGAAATATTACATAAACAGGTGAAGAATATTTATGGCAGAGGCATTGCCGGTTTGAAAAAATAACATTTAAAGTGCCACTTCCACCAATTTGTCAAATTTTGTATCTGAAAAAAAAAAAGCTCTATAGTATTCGGAACTCGTTTTTTTTTTTTCTAGATATTTCAACCCTATAGTTTTCAATTAATAAGACATTTAAAGGGACATGTTAGATATTTGTTTGACCAATTTTACATAATAGTACAGTATCAAAATCATGAATTTTTAGCTAAGCTAATCAGTAATTGATAAATGTTAGTGATCAAAGTTGCTTACCATCTAAATTTGAGCTTTATTGAGAAATATTCGTGTTTGACGGATAATATGATGACTCATACAATATTGAAGACCTAACTAGTAAATCAACCCCTGAAAATGCTGAACCATGGTGTTTAATCTCCCCTGGACTTGGTTACTTTCATTGTTAGCAGCCTAATGATACAGTTAACAGTTTGACTATAAATATTTATGAGGTGATGTTGTTGACACCAAAGAATTGAAATTTTAGTGTCATTTCAAGTTATTTTTTAAAATCAGAGACTATTGCCTCCATTATTTAACAATATTCAAATTATAATTTTCAAATACTAGTATATCATTTGTCTTAGAAATAGAATTTACTATGTCTTCAGGTTCAGCCAAATAATTTGATGAATTTTACAAATTGCATTTGAAATAAACATATTGCCTTCTCAGATATTTTTGGTGAAAATGACCCACATATACCAGTATGACTGAAAATCTTTCATATTTTTAAGTAGGCCCTAATAATTGTAAAAACAATCCAAAAATTTTTTTAGGGATATATACGCCATTTTTTTGACCAATCGTACCTTAGTCTTCGAAACAAGAATTTAGTTAAGCTAATCATGAATAGCGATCACAGTAATATTCTGAAGACTACCGTATTTACTTATATTCGAGACCCAAGTAAACACCCAAAAATGGTGAAAATGTCTCTTTAATGGCTCATTTTCACCATGTTTAAAAGTGGTTATATATCTATGTTAGTGCAAAATGTTATTCTATTGCATCACTGACTGCAAAGTTAATATTTCATTATACAATTAAAATACATATAAATAGTAATTGTATAATGAAATATTAACTTTATTGACCAGATAATCTGCAGTCAGTGATGCAATAGAATAACATTTTGCACTAACATTGATATAAGAAAGCAAAGATATTAATGTTCATCATGGTTGGATTCAAAATATAAACATGGCCACTTGATCAGTCCACTTTAATATTATGTAGAGTAAATATCGATAATAGAAACTATACAGACTAAACTTACATTGTGTTGATTACAAGTGAAGGGGATTGTAAAGAGGTTTTCTAAAACTTTTATCTGTATCAAAAACTTGAAATGTTTTGACATTACCATTTTAACTCTGCTTTTACACTAATATATAAGGCTGAATCCAAATACGAAAATTCTGTGCAGGCATCAGAGTAGGACTGTCCAATATTAGTTCAAATTGATGTCATGATATTAAGAATTAATCACGATATGAGTATATATCGCAATGTTGTTTTTCTATCTCTAATTTTTATATGTAAGAAAAAACAATAAATATCCCTTAAAAAAATCCAGTCTTGAATATCATGAAAAAAACATCTGTTTCAAACATTTAGATACCGGTACTTGTTAGAAATGTGTAGATGATCTTGACGTATATCATGATAAATACCATCAATGTTATGGCAACATTTCGGTGTTTTTCAATCAGGTGATATTAATAACAATATACTGGTAAATTCCTATAACAGTATCTGATACTGGTCATAGTTGCAAGCCTCTCATAGAGAGTCTGAGAGGGTTCTCCCAAGAAAAATTTTTCAAAATATTGAATTGATTTGGTGCATTCTGACATATTCTGGAACAAAAATATAAAAAAATCATATTTTGAAATTTGTTCAAAAATTAAGTGCGCATGGGAACCATTTTAAGTAAATCAACACATACCAGTACTCATAATTATAATTATGAAATTACATAGTCATATTATGATTATTCAAACTAAAATTTTTATGAATAGATAGTGTGGTATGAGAAATGTTAAAGCAATCTGTTGCATCTAATGACGGCCATTTTTTTTTTTTGCTACCATTTACCCTATAGTGGTTAATGAACAGCTATTGTGAGCTGTGTTATTGTCAATTGTTTCTTCCATTGAAATTTTGGGTTTGGAATATTGTCTTTTACTGGCAGTGGAATAGCTCAATGGGTAGTTGCCATGTGACTAGCGCACTGTGGGTTTGAATCCTTTTCAAGGTTAGAAAATATTTTTTTTATATTTTTCAGGATAGATATATAGAAGATGGCAGCTCCAGTATTTAGAAGAATTTTTAATCTTTCTGTATCAGCTTCAAGAAAATTAGAGGTATGTTCATTATCAATCGAAAAAATTTATGCATCAACTAGAAAGATCTGGTACACAGTGTAGTCCTTAATGCCTGTTTCTGCTTTCAAAAAATATATTAATGTTTGGATAAGTGAATTAACAAACTGAAGCCTGATGTCGGTAGAGCGATAAACATGCAAAAGCGAAACCCGGCAACATTCATAGATTACACATGTATGCCAGTAAAGTAGGGAGTTAAACACCATTCCATTTCAGAAGTATGACTGGAATTTTTTTTTTTCTTTCCACAGGTATTTGGTTTACAAACGTCATCATTCCATACATTAAATATGGCCAAAACAGCTCCTAATGACATGATGCCTGATCCTAAATTTTCTGATCCAAAATTACAACCTGCAGCCTTTTATGAAGCTTTGAATGATATTGGTGTAGATTATTTCTGTGGAGTTCCTGACTCTTTATTAAAAGGTGAGAACAGTAAATTTTAATGTACTTTAAATTTGGTTTAAATGGCTGTATTTATTTTTTTGTCATAAATTTTAAAAGCTATGAAGGTTCTATGAAAAAATGAAGAATAAACACAAAAATATGAAAACATATTTTGAATGGTTTCATTTGAAATTTATTAGATGTGCCTATGTTACTGTAAAATTATGTATCATGTTTTCATGTTGATTTTTAAGATTTCTGTGCTTATGTTACTGCCAATGCTGCTAAAGAGAATCATGTTATCACAGCTAATGAAGGTAATGCAGTAGGTCTAGCAGCTGGCTATCACTTAGCAACTGGGAAGTCAGCTATGGTTTATTTACAGGTAGGACTATTTTAAGTATGAATTCGACTCTTTAATCATATAAAAAGTTATAAACACTAAGAGGGGATGTGTGTATACCTGTGTCGTTTTGAGGTTTTACATTGGATCATCTTGGAGCTAAGATCTTTTCTTTATAGGAGATCTCTATTTATTCTGTCTTTATTTGCTCTTTGAAAAGTGTTATCATACATTGTTCTGTAACTATCATTTGGCACATACGGGTCCAAAACTAAGCATAAACAAAGGCTTATTTTAAATATCAATAAGACTCTTATAAAATAAAATAATATAAAAAGTTATAAACACTAAGAGAGGATGTGTGTGTACCTGTGTCGTTCCCTCCTGGAAAATTGCAAACTGTGGCCTTTAACCTTTTTGTTTACTTGTTTGTTTACTTTGTATGGTTCAACAGTTCATTTCACATGATATGTATAGAAATAGATCAATAGGAGTATATAGACCTCATTAAATTAGTTTTAAACCATGTAGAGGCAACAGTTGCAATTGATTTTATTAATCTCATCTGTCTTTCAAAGTTGAAAAATATTTCTTTCTTATGTTATACATTTTCACTTATTTTAATGTAAACACGTCAAACTTTGTTAGACTTTAGAACTATGGGTTGATTTTGTTTAAAACTTAATTCTATTTTGAAAGAAAATAATTACTTGTATCTGCCTTTATTCAGATATTATATATTAAATGGTAATGTGAATTTGTTAACCTTTAGAAGTTTGAATTGATTTTGCTTAGCTTAGATTCTTTTTTGAAAGAAAATACCTTTATGTTTATGCCTATATTCAGATATGAAATTTTCTATTTTCTATGTGGAAAATAATGCATGTGTTTCCTGCAATTCATTTATGGCATCTCTTCCTGTTCTTACATTTCATCAATATTTTTATTGACTCAGGGTGTGAAAGGATACAGGGCCTATTGTGATCTGTATTGATATCCTGGTAAACAAGTTTGACTGACAGTCTTTGTGTAACCTATCTCATATCCCACAGATCTTTGTCAAAAAGACATTTGAGCTGAACTGCAGAAAATACACCCAAATTAACAGCCCTGATAAAGGCATCTTAATTTGTTCTAAAAAGTTATAGAGCTCAATTTCAGCCATCACCAAATTTCAAGAGAATTTGTTCAAAAAAAGAACTCGGTACAATTCCAGAGAGAGAGATGATGAACTATATTTTTGTTGAAATTTTAGAAAAATTACCTTTTAAAGGTTTTGTGAATAGTCAGGTACAGTTTGTGGCAGCTTCATAAATAATCTATATAGTAATTTTTATATTGCCACATACATATATATCTTAGAAGGAACATAATCCCTGTATAATAGAATAAATCTATATAACTCTATTTATTTCAATAAATATTTTCATGATAAATGACTTATTATTATGGATTTATTGGATTACATAGGGATTATATTGTATAGGTAAGTCTATTGATGAATATATACTTATTTGACCTAGAGAATTTAGATTTTAAGTCCATTCCAACTTCCAATGTTGAATTCCTTTAAATATGACATCTAATAAACTTCCAAACAGGCAATTTTTTATTATTATTTCAGAACTCTGGATTAGGTAACATGGTGAATCCATTGATGTCACTAGCTGCACCTAAAGTCTACAGTATACCTATGTTATTGTTAGTGGGATGGAGGGGAGAACCAGGGGTTAAAGATGAACCTCAACATATAACACAGGGATTAATTACACAGAATATGTTAGGTACGACTGATATTATTGTATAGTTGTATGTAATTTAAATGAGAGTTGTATTGTAAATAGTGTTTCAGTCAAAAGCTCTGATTGGCTGTATTTTCTGGTGTACAATCCAATCAAATCGCTGCATTCCGTGATAAAAGAATAGTGGCTTTTGGAGTCAAAATAGCCGAAGTTTGTAATAGCTTGAGATTGAAAATGAAAAATGAAATCTGTACTATATTTTGTTATTCTAGAATCTATGAGAATACCATATGAAGAATTACCAGCTGATGAAAGTCAACTGAATGAAGTAAGTGTTTTAGTATCAAATGGTCCTGTGTTCTAATCTGGATTGGAGGGTGAAAGTCTAGCTTTTGAGTAAAGTCCAAGTGAAGATATTCTAGTATTGGAACAACCTGTTTAAAATGTCAATTATTTATAGGTTTTAGAAAAATCCAAGAGACATTTAACAGAGAAGAAATCTCCATTTTGTTTGTTAGTTAGAAGTAAAACATTCTCTCCATATAAACTAAAACAAGACAGGATTAAGTAAGTATTGCTTTCCAATGCATGTTTTGGATATATCATCTATCATCAAGACCCTATAAGGTGCAGAAAGTACAGGCATATGAGTAAAGGTAGTTAGCTTACATAACAGAAGTGCTAATTTGGCTAAGATCTCAATGTAGTTTATGTTCACATTGTATCAAATGTTGTTAGAGTTAGTGCCCTTGACATAGCTAGAATAGCCTAAGTTAACTTGTGATTGCATTACTAGCAGTTTTTCTCAACTAAAATCCGTGAAAGCTTTGGTTTAACATATGATTATCATGACTGAATAATTTCACAAAGTCTGATTGGTTGAGTTAACAGAGATCTACCAATAATAGTTCTCGGTGTTATGTATTGGATAAGACCATACAAGAAAATTAGATCAACGAAAATCTGTGAAAATGACTACAAAGGGAAAGTTTCTAATGTAAACCATTTTGTAGATTACCAATGACAAGAGAATTTGCTCTACAAAGAGTGGTAGATTTACTGGGTGAAAATGATGTTATAGTTAGTACAACTGGTATGTTGTCTCGAGAATTATTTGAATATAGGTTAGTATAAGCTTCCGTCATGTTATTTCAAACTAAACCTGGAACTCTGTAAACATAGTAGTCCTATCCTAAAAAAAAAAAAATAATCCATATTTTTGTGTGGTTGTTGTATGTAATTTGTACAACTGTGACCTACTGTGAGTTTGCATGTTTACATGTATTATATATCTTGCATATTATTATGTGTTTTATATTATCAGAATTGATTTTTTTTCTCCTTCACAAATATTCCATATATGATATCATTGGTTGGCACTTTCATCAACCCAAAAACAATATATAAATCTCAGAAGTATTTTAGAATTATGATCCATACAAAATTGATTAGCAAAATTTGATTATGTAAATATTATGGTCAGATAGTAAATAAATAATACTTGAGTTTTGTTTTAAATCATACCAGATGTACAATATTTTTGATTGATTATTACTATAGGATTAATTAGTAGATTTATCATGTAATTATGTTAACATAGCTGTGTTTCTATCTTGTATTTTATCAGTTGTATATAAACTGACTGACACCTGAGTAATTGTACTATTAAATAATCCTGAATCTAAAATAGACATGTCTGGTTATTGAGGGCATCAGGAATAGGGTTGTCTGTTTATTATCAACTAAACACTACTGATCAGCTGACCAACCCCATTTCTTATTTAGGAGCCTACACAATTCTTTGATTTTTATTCAGAAAAATTCCTGAAAATCCATTATTTTACTCATCTAAGAACATAACCATTTATTTTCAGAGCTAAGAATGATGGAGGACATGAAAAAGAGTTTTTAACTGTTGGTTCCATGGGACATGCATCATCTATTGCTTTAGGAATTTCACTACAGAAACCAGATAGACCGGTATGTTATCATATAAAACTCTCACAGCTGAATGATTTCTAGATATCTGATTGGTTAATATCAAAATGTGAATTTTGCAGAAAAGACACCTCTTGTATGCTCAGATGGAATGAAGTACAGCAAAGTTATTACACAGGAAGAAAATAACTCAGGGAAGTCACTGTGGAGAATGGATGTACTTATAATGTAAAGTTGACAGACTTTAAAATTCAAGTCTTCTAATTGACTGGTTTACATCTTGACAGATCACAATATGTAAGGCCTTTAACATTTCATAAGAACCCACCTAGCTTGTTTAAACTATAATATTATGACTGTAATATTTTGACAGGTTGTCTGTTTGGATGGTGATGGCGCTGCATTAATGCACTTGGGTGCCATGGCAAGTGTAGGTCAAAGTTCATGTTCTAATTTTAAACATATATTATTTAACAATGGAGCCCATGACTCAGTTGGAGGCCAGCCTACTGAAGCTAGAAATTTTGATGGTTTTTCATTCCCTAAAATAGCCTTAGCTTCTGGATACAAAAAGGTAAGATTTTGGGGTTTTTTTCTGAATAAAAAAATTAGTTAAATGTTGCTAGGAGAAACAAATTTTATCATATTTAGATTTCAATTTTGTTTTGCTTTTGGATTTGAAATTTATGACTTTTAAAATGTGTAAGTCCAATTTTGCAGGAAATAATTTAGATAGGTCAATTTTCTCTGAAAAAGAGACATTGACAGTGGTTTATGCTTAAGATTGTATACTGTAAAATTCTGATTTTAATGCGCACTGTATATAATACGCACTCATATTCTGACTATTTCAGGCTCTGGTAGCCTCAACACTTGAAGAATTGTTGATATCTATGGAAGAAATCAATAATTCGGAGGGACCAATATTTTTAGAAGTCAGAACATCAATTGGATCCAGATCAAATCTAGGTCGTCCAACACGCACAACTCATCAAAACAAATCTGATTTCATGGAGTTCATTTCTAAAAGTTAAACATGGAAAGGAAATGATTTTATTAAAGATCTTAAATATGGATTCTCACTTTGAAGCAAAATGTATTTGATTTTTAGGATTAACATTTTGAGTTTTTCTAAACCTGCCAACCTGAATTTCTAATAATATTGATTTTAAAATGAATTGAATTTGTGCTAAAATAAGCTGATTCTGGAAGAATTTTATTGAGCATACTTCTTTTGTATTTTTGAAAAATAAACTTATTCCAAAAATCAACGTAAAACATCATTTGTAATATTCATGACATCTTTTCTAATATGGTTCAGGAATTTTAAATGTGTATGTAAAATAGCTTTGATAAATTTACCAAACATGAAATCTACTACCAGGTATATATTCCAATATTCAATGTTTTCAATGTAGGCTTTCTAAATCTTATTATTTACACTTTTAAAGTTGTTTTTTTTTATGTGAATTTGCTTGAAAATTTAACTGTAGCATATTTTTTATGTTGACAATGTACCTTATTAATTGTGTGTTCATTTAAATACTGAAATAGCTCAAAATATTTACCTTTGCCAGAGACATTTGATTCTTCAGGTTTATTTTTTTGATGGAGGTACTTGTGAATTCCTGCAAGTCGTCAAAATCAAAAAAGAATTTATTTTTAAACCAGAGAAAGAAAATTGAATGGGAATTTTAATGTCTTGGTATGAAGTCCTTGTTTATTATAGAAGAACAACTTAAAGCTCTTGTTAGTTTCATTTGTTAAGTTTTTAACTTACGAAAATGTTTTGTTTTTTTATCAAGTCATGTTAATCAAGTCAATTTTTTTGTCGACCAAAAGAAAAATCTCTCAAAGACACCTGGAAAATGGACCTGCTTTAAAATTAGTGCCATAATTGTTGTAATGGTGAAGATCTCCATTACATTTTTGTACAATACACAGGGCCTACTGTTATAATCAAGAAATAATATTAATGCACATACAATGATAATTCAATACTTTGAGTTATGTTGAGTGGTTAACACAATATTGCCCTTGGTTGTGAAGTTAAGAATTGATTTTACCTCCAGAACTAATTTGATTACTTAAGTTTAGAAAGGTTCCTAAATATTTTTTGTCTCAATACAATATACATGAAATGGCTTCAATAGAAAGCTTTCAATAATAAACTTGGTTAAGGGACATGTAAATAGTTGCTATATTTTAAATTAGAATTAGTAAAATATTCTGCATAATTTACTTGTGTGATTAGATGATTGTTTTTGTAAGTTATGTATAATTTTAAGTATCATTCTGCAAATTGTTATAATTTTAAGTGTCTATTTAATCTGATCCAGTTCCTGAGTCATTTGAAAGATCATGTCCATATAGTCAGACTATGACAGTTTCCTGTGTTTGGAATATTTCCCAGCATGGTATTTGGTTAGCATATCTGACTCCTTTTGAATAATAAGAATAGAAAAAGAGTTACAATTCTTTCAGGGAAAAAAACAGCACGTATGATAAATATCTATAAAATATCTTTATAAATTGTCGCAAGCCCACTTTCGCTTGTACTACCCAATACATCAGGAATGGTAATACAACTTGCAATTGTACAATACCAAAACATTGCCATTGCTTAAAGCAAACAGGGTAACAGGATAAGATCAAATAGACACTGGTTTTTGATTGAAGCATAATCACATTGTTATATAGTAGTTGTTAGTTTTGATGATGTTTTATAAGGAATTGATTTAAATTTTAACCAAGGTTCATTATTGCACTTGTTAATTCTTTAAATCTGTCTTTTGTAAATTTCACTAATATGGATTCTGTACTGAAAGACAAAAGAAACATCACTTCTGAAAATGCCACTGGACAGCCCCTTAAATAACATTTCTTTAGCCTTTTAGTATATTTTAACATGTTGTTCTTGTGTAATGTTATGATTTGGTGTTATCAGAACTTGACTTAAGACTGACTAATTTTCACACAATCCTTTTTACCAGTTATGAGTTATGAGAGTAGTGGTGTTTTTCTAATTAAGCTATTCTAACCATGGGGCACTTGATTGGTGAGTTCCGCTTGTTTTTGATTCATGAAATCAACTGAGAGTTTAAACAAGTGGGAACAGAGTTCAGAATGTGTGTGGAAAAAAAAAAGCTGTAGATGGAGAAAGGAATAGAAGGGTAAATTTTAATTCTGTTTTGTTAATGGATAAAATTGCCACAGATCTTGTAAAAAAAAACTCATCAATCAAGCACCTCCTTTGTCTCTTATGCATCTTGCTCATGATAAAGTGAAATTGTTCACCAGATTTGATAATGGAGGTATATTTGGTCAAAGATAATTAGGCACATCAAATAACCTGCTAGCTATGAATAGTTAATATTATTTCATTAGAACTAGGCAGGAGTCATTTGTAAAAGTAAGACAATGTGTTTTGATGCCCAGATGTGTTGTTATATTGTTGATTAATTATACTAGTATTATTGCTTTAAGTAAAGTTGCACAAAGATATCAGTGATCATACAGGAATGATTCAAAAGTTTATCAACACACTATTTATTTATTATGTGTGGCTTGAATTTTTGAAATTAATATTTGATCACCTTCAAAACAGAATATACTTCTCCCTTTTAAAAGGTCTGCTGGATGAACACGCTTATATTACTCCAAATTGTATGCATGTATATTTAGGGAGGATGCAAAGCAGAACTAGGAACTGTCCTCTTTATTTTCAGGTAGTATAAGTAATAATAGAACCTATACAGCCTTAACTTACATTGTGTAGGCTATTTAATATTACCTAAAAAATAAAATGGACTGCTCACTTTCTGTTTAAATTGTTCCTGAATGAACACTAATCTTCCTCTGAATTGTAACAATGTAAGCTTTATCTTCTGAAACCGGTGTCTGTGTTGTTTTTCTTTTTAATCTGTTGTTAATATAGTATTTTTTCTTCAATATCAGTGTATTCAATGGTGGCTCATGTTTTTGATAATAAATTAATTTGAAGCTTGAATTTATTTGTTTACTAAAAATATCCAGTGCTGAATTCTTAATCCCCATGGTGGAAGCAATGTCAAAATGTTCATCTTGAGTAATGAGCCAACAGCATGCAAATGTAATGCATATGCTAATATGAGTGACCAATAAATTGTCCTACTTTGTAGCGTGTTTGATGCTGTGTGTTGTATTGAGTATACAAGTTGATAAGAAATGGTGAACTAATATAGATATAACAGAAATAATTCCACACAGCAATTACCTATGGGAGTTTCCATAATTTGCATTGAGTTTTTCAGCAATATTTTTCTACATTTACTAAATCAATCATAAATGTGCAGATTTCAGTGTAAAAATGAATACATGAACCGCAACATGTACAAAGTTCTTCTGCTATACTGCTATTTACACCTGCTGAACAATTGTAAACACATAGATTGAACATAGAGATGATTTAATCATCATAATTTATACAAATGACAACTCTGATTTATAATAATAATAATAGTAGATTGAGAATGATGACATAGCTAGAAAACACGATGATAAACTTCCTTCATGCTGGGTAATTTAACTTGTAACTTCTACATAATCTGGATTCTTCTTCAATATAACAAATCCTTCCATTATTGGTGTTAAACAGATATCTATAGTTAGTAGGTTAAGGTACAAATATATCTTATTAGATTGAATGATATAGAGAAACTATGTGTGTATTTAGATGTAATCAAAAACCTGAGATTGTGAGTGGCAGGCTTTTAAGTTTATGATATTGACAGTTGGATATCAGATGAATAAGTTAATGCTACTATCCTAAAAAGATAGGATGAGATAAGATTGAAGGCAATATACCATTGTCTACCAGCTGTCATCTATTCAAACATGCACAACTATCCAATGCTTAAAAGAAATAGTAAGATAATTCACTGAAAGGAAAGATATCCTGGACAGATGTCAACCATCAACAATGAGAATCTGTCCTAGCTGCTGAAAGTATTTAGGATAAAGCCAGAAACACTGAAAGTAGCAACCGAAAATTTCCTAATTTTTGTAAGTATTTATGGGTTCAATCTCCACCCATTTGGATCATGAAATACAGTCTACTAATTGTAAAGGATACATTCTTCTGTAGCTAGTTCAGCACGTTCACCATGAGCCAGTAAAACTGGTGTGGTATGGGTCTGAAATCCAGTAATTGTTTTAGGTTTACCAGCCTGTCCTACCACATCTACAGCTTGACCAACACGGACTGATACAGGCATGGGACGTAACTCTTCATCAAATGTTACTAACATACGTGGCTGCATGGCAGATACCAGGTGATACAGGACATAATGAGATTTACCCAGGATTACTGGAATATAAATGATTTCAATATGTTAATCGGCTACATTTAAAGACAAATAGTTAAATTCTAACTTTAAACTAGATATACCACTGCTTAGTGCAGCCTTCCTTCAAACCCAGTTTCACCACGTCATTAATGTAGGTTGAAGGGGCTGACATGGAAAAAGCGTCTAGTCTTTCAAACTATAAATTGGGACCCTGTGTGCTTCAGGCTGTGCATTTCAAAGATCCCTTGACAGTTCGAAATCGAAAAAGATCAGGCTAAGAAAGCTGTCCTGTCTTCATAAGCCTAATTAGGTGCAAAATCCATAGAAGCAATAAAACAACCTGTTTATACAACAAAATGATCAAAGACAATTATTGATGTCATGTGATAAGATTAAAATACTACTTACTATTTTTGACATCTAAACATGAAACCAATACAGCCATTAAACCAGCTACAGCCACTGGGCTTAATAAGGTCCTATCACTATGGTAGGGTGACAGTGTCAGAGTTCCTTTACCAAGATGACATAATCCCTGAGCTAGTCTCACCATAAACAGATTGTTAGCATCTTTAGCATGGTACAGAGCTAACTGTCTTAATAGAGCTGCTAATCTGGCATTGTTAGTTCCTGGAATGGAAGGAGAACACTTTTGATATATTATTATTCATAGGTACAGTGGTATAGCTGCAAAAGTCAAACTAGTGATAATAAATATCTTAGATGTCAGAATTACAGCAGTATAATACCCACAGAATATTTCCATGTCCCATTCTAGAAAATGAATACTGAATTTGAGGTTGAATATGGCAAGTGCTGTGGCAGGTGTGTCTACTTCAGTTCAGAAAAATATAAATCCAAGGTTTGTTAACCTGTACCGACATAGCTATTAATATAATATAGTACTTACCAGCCCCTACTATTCCCATAGCTAATATAGCATTATGTGATACTTCAGGATCAGAATCATGTGAGAACTTACTCAATGTATCTAATATTTGTAGTTTAGGATTAGATACAGAGATTAAAGCTAGAGCTAGTGGTACAGCTCGTCTCATACCAACTTCACCGTATCGTAACTACAAATAATATAAAATATATTCATCTTTTGATACTTCAAACATTAGATATATATTATAAATACATTCATTAAGTTATAAAGGGTATCTTCAATACTAAATGATCTGTAAGAGTATAATTGACTGCTTGGAGAATATAGTTCTCCATAGAAACAGGAACTCTCTTGAATGACAAAAAATGGCAGAATATTTCAAAGTTTGTAAGATTAAATAGCCTAAGCAAGGGTCAAGCAATACTTGGTATCATGCATTCAAAACAAAGTATCAAAGTTTTCAAATGAATTATGACATTCTGAAATACCACTGAATAATCAACATAGATACTTACAAGATGTCCAAAAGCCCTAAATGCCATTTCACTACCAATATCTTCTCCCATAGCTATTAATGCTATACCCAATACACTAGCACCTAGTTTGAAATAATCAAGTCCATTATTATCGAAAATTTTTACTTCATAGTAATATCAACTTGCTCTGTTTCAAATATTGGTAAATTTTGGACAGAATACCAAAATGAACATCAAATAAGGTTAAAACAACAAGTAGTAATTTAAACCATACTAAAATTTTGATATATGCTAAAAAATAAAATGTTAGAATTGATTTCAAGATATACCTTGTTGTATTGTGAGATCAGGACCAGCTGGCTCTTTTTCTTTTTTATCATCTTTTTTCTGTTTCTTATCATCTTTCTTTTCAGTCTCCTAAAACAATCATTATTTCAATCAAAATATCATATACTCAAAACTCCCATAAAATGAACGAACTCATGTGTCTATGAGTTTTCATTATAACACAGGGACTTGATAACAATCGGTCAGTAAAGCAAAATTCAGTTCAGAGGTGGATATCTTCGTTTTTGTATAGTAAGAATACATATAATAATAATGTATTAAAACAGTTTTGTAAGCCCTTTTTAAGTGTATCAGTCTAATATGAATATATATGTGTAAGCATAAGGTACTAACCTGATCCTTGGCATCATCATGCTCTGAACAGAGATGTAACAAATGTTGTACTTTTAATACATTACCAGTACCTAAAACAAGATGTAATACATTTTTCAAACTTTTAAAGATTGGGTTCATTTTAATGACATTGTGTGACAAAAAAGAAGAAAAAACTAGAACTAAGAAATATTTTGATGGGTGTATATCGTAATACATACATATACCAATAGCAGAGGAGTTAAACTAATGATGTTCAACTTACCAGCATATGCACAAACATCAACTAAAACAGTGGCCATGGATTTTAATGGTTCACCAACAACTTCTAGAGCTACTAATGTAGCATCAACAGCATCTTGTTTTCCTGGAAGAAAAAATGAAATATCAAAATTTTGCTGATCTTTGTAACGTGAATGAAGACAGACAATGCCAGAGAGTGTTCTGTGAGAACAATAAGTAGCTTACTTTCTTTAATGGGGTAGTCTGAATTTTTAAGCAGGTTGGGTAGGTTAAATGCAAATTATTGAAAACTATCGATCATAGACTGTGGAGGGATCATTTCACAGTCAGACAGTCAGTGACACCAATGACCTTATTACTAATGATATGAATCTACCTAAATAAGGCAAAGCAAGACCTAGAGCTAAATATCTAGAATAGGTGTTCTTAAGATCAGCTTCTGATTTCTCCATCATAGTCTGTAGTATAGTAGATGTTACTTCACCATTACAACTACCTACAGATATCATACCACAAGCTAGAGCAGCCATACCAACTACCTAGAAAATAAGTTATTTTTTACATAGTCAGTAACAATCAACCTTCTAGCTTTCAGGCTTTCAATCCACAATGATGTGATTGTGGGTGCACATCTGTATCAGCTGACCAATGTATCAGAAACAAAGATCACCATTTGTTTGACGTAACCAAACAATGGTGCCATAAAATATTTTCAAGGCTCTAACCGAATGTGCTACCCATCCTTCAATTAATGAAAGGAAGATATTACCTCCATGGTAGATTTGGAATCACCTAAAACTGGTAATATTAAACTGATGACATCATCTCTATTAGAACCAGCATAAGCTAAACCAAGACTGAAAATATAGAAATAACATAATCTAAATATTTTCTAATGGCTGATAAAATACAGTAATCTGATTGGTTAAGAAAGTTAAATATCAATCAAGTTAAGTGACTGGCCAATAAGATGAATGAAACACAAAAATCATACTAAATCCAGGGTTCGTGAAATATTTCCTATTAAATCGGAAACTCCACAAGAAAGAAGTAGAAATATTAACTTACCCAACTATAGCACCAAGTCTCATAACGTTATTGTTATGCATGACATAATCTGTTAATAGAGCTAGAGCAGGATCACACTCATTACGTACACCAGAATTCACAATACCACACGCTAATAATGCCCCAGCCTATAATAGTTTTACATCATTCAATACAATTTATAAGATTGTTAAAGGCATCTGTACAACCAATCCTATCTTAGATACAGGAATTACTAAGCTAAACCTCTTGGTAATATTGGAGATAAGTTAAGTTCATATATGAGTTTTCATAATAGCTTTTTGTGTCATTTAGCTCGAGATTAAATGTACTTCACTATACAATGTTTCAGTTGTAAAGCCATAAAGTAATAATAAAATTGTCTCAAAGCTTACCTTTATATTATCTTCTGAAGAGTAGAGATATTTATCAATCTGTGTTAAACCACCATCTACATCCCATAATAGTATTAAACCTAGAGATGCTGCAGCACTTAACATACCTATAAATAAAATAAAAATAAAATGAAATATAAAATAATAATATATACAGTAAATTACTTGATTAATGATGCCATAGAAAACTTATTTTCTGTTGCAGGCGTCTGATTGAAAATTTGAATGGTGCAAATTGATGCTATCAGTGTCCTCGATACACATACAAATTTTAGAAGAACCACTTTACAATCCTTTTAAAGTTATCTTCTAGACCATTAAAATAAAACAGACACCATCTTGTTGTAATTGAAGTATAAAGAATTACTCTAACCTACCATAATCTCTATTTTTAAAGAACCAGTTATTACCATCTTCCATCAATAGTTTATCAGAACCAAAACCAGCATTAACAAAGCCATTAACAAATGATGCTGATAAATTCTGTCTAGCACTATCTACTGATCCTGCTCCTAGTGATGATCCTGAAGATATAACATTGCTCAATATAGTATCAAATCTTTGCAAGCAAAGTTGCAACAAATTATTTTTTTGCAGCAATTTTACAAAATGAATCACATTTTTGTTGCCAACTGCTTCAGTTCACATATTCAAAATCTTGGAAAAAATTTTTCGTCATGTTTGATTATGACATCAGTATTATAATAGAAAAATACAACATAACTTACTATTTGGTTCTAAATGGCTCTTATAAATATCTTCGGGTACTTTAGGTTCCATTATGTCCAACTACAAAATATATATTTATAATAATTATAAATTCAATAGGAAAACACCAGGAGGCTTCTCAAAAACTTAACTGAAGATTATGTTAGTGTTCCAGTCATTTGATTGATCAAACACTAAAATTGATCCGATTGGTTTGGATATTACATTAATACTAATTTCATACTCATTATAATAAATCACTGTTAAATTGCATGAAATCGAATGAAGTTAAGGAAACTAAAATTGTTTTGTTGTTGGAATGTTGATTTGATTGTGTCGGCCAGTATTTCTAATTCAAGACCTACAGTAAATAATAACTTCTCACATACCTCTCTAGCCAATGCTAAGAAGTTGTTATTTAAATGAGCATTGGACATAATTTCTGTTAATTCATCATATTCCTCAATATCTTCATTTAATTCTAAAAATATCTGTTGTCTTCCTAAAAGGTAGGCAAGCTGTTTCTGCATATGACTGAAAAATATAATAATACAGCATAGTAAGAAATATATTTCAATCAACAAGAAATTTATGTCTGTTTACAAGGAATTTAATTTGTGTCCATCACATTACAATAGCCGGCTCATAGTGAGCTTTCTTTCTTTACCCAGAGGCAACCTAAGGGGTCAGACCACCAGATGTGATCTGAGGCTAAGTTGGAACAGGAAATCACGGATTAATTTTGGAATTGAAAATTGAAAAATATAATAGCCTAAATCTGTTGCAAAATTATGTAATCTTTAATGCTATTCTACAGCAAAATGTGACTAAATTTTTTTCTCCAACAATAGTAAAAGGAAAATTTAACTCATAGAAAGCACAGGTCTAGTCCCACTTTGGCAGCAATTCACTAGATATAACTAAAGTATAAAATACAAGATAAAACTTACACATCATTACAAGAATAGAAGATCTCTTCAATAAGTTTACTATCATTAAGTTGTAGAGCAAATCGTAAAGCCTGTGGATACTGTTTATATTTTCTATATAATTCTACAGCTGTTTTTATTAAGATGGTATTTTCTGGATCAGGTACATATGGTACACAGCTAAAAAAAAAAAAAAAAAAATATAGATGATAAATTTAATTTATTTTGTCTGGATTCAGTCCATCAAAGTAATTTCTGCTGATCTGAATTAAGATTCTGATATTTTACTTCCCATTGTAATCTACTATTTATTAGATTGTCCTCAGAGATAATCCATATACCCATTTCTGGTAAATGACACCATCACCAATCTACAGAGAACAAATTCATCTGACTAGGTCTTTGTAGTTATTACAAGTCAGCAAACAGTTAAATTGTACATTCATCTTATGTATTTAACTTTGAAACCTAAATAAAACCCTTGATCCTATTCTAAGGTAGTCAAAAGATATGTTACTGTATATATCTCATATCAGGTGTTATACACAAAAACAAATAACCATTTTTATCATGTGTGTCTAAATGTGCAAACTAGAAATTTGTTACACCATTTTACCAGGAAGGGAAATTTGCTGAGAAATATGGCTCCACTGTGTAACCAGTTGATTTATTTGTTTGCTTGTTTGTTTACCTGGTAAGATAAAGACAAACTCTAGAGTAAACAGAGTCATCAACATAATCTTTTAATAAATCTAATTTCTCAATCTCCATCAACAGATCACAAGCCTCAGCTTCAGCATTATGAGTCATATGATATGGTACTATCTGTTTGATCATTATTAATAGTTTCTCTTTCATGGTGGCACCAGAAGCATCGTCTTCAGCTTCCTGCCATTCTGCTGCTACTTGTCCTGTTAAATGCCTGAAAATAAAAAACATCAATTCTGAAATATGATCTTTTCGTATGATCATTAATGACATCAGTATAAAATGTGGCCTTTATTTGCATGGAAGTAACCAAATTTTTTTAATTTTGATCCTATTTAAGAAAGTAAACATTCCACATGCAAAAATTATGAAATACAGGTACACAAAGCAGAATTAAATGTATGAGTGTACAAATGCCATTTACCGTGAGCTCGACATTCAAAGAATCTCATTTTAAGCAAGCAGCTAAAAATACTGGTTTCACCCTAAACTATTACAGACATGCAAAAGTGTTACGTTAAAGAGTCAAAATTCACTATTACCTGACATATTCATGACCCCAAGAACCAATTTCTTCTTTAGATCCCAATAAACGGTAGTGTAAACTGTCTCTTCCATCACTCATAGTCATACCCAGTACAGATATAATATCAGCACAAAATTTCTATAAAAGACACATCCAAAACATCATAATTCAAGGTTTATGAAATCCTACAGGGTTCATTTTACTTACTATTGTGTCATTGCTCCTATTAATTATGTAATACACCATATCACTATAAATAAGGTAAGCTTTTAAGTATAGAGCAACAATTATCAAAACCTCCTTTCAGTTAAAAAAAAATCACCTTTTTTTGTTATTCTTCTCTACGATATTAATACACTATTATATAAACATTCTAAAGTATAGTAGAACAAATACGAAACCTGCTTTCAAAAAATAAGCTGCAGTCATCTTAAAATTGGGTGTGTTCAGTCTGTATCAATAATTGAAATCATTTACATACCTTAGTGTCCTTGTCTTTGATTTTTTCATGAATTTCTTTCAGACTGTCATAATGTGGTCGAAGGTACTTCAATGGTTTAGGTACAGAAGTCATTGATGTCGTAGAAGCTCTAATGAGAGTTCGTAAACTCTCCAAAGCATTCTTATAAAGTTTCTGATCAGATTCTTTCAACCTTTCAATACACAGGTTTAACTCATCATGAAGTTGCTGGTCTTCTTCAGACTAAAACGATAATAAAATTTTATACCTTTGGACCTGTAAAATACCTAAATTATTGATGTACAGCAACATCTTTACATAGGCTACCAATGTATAGACAGACGCCTCAGATTTTTATTCTGACTTCACTTGTTTGAAAAAATGTCTTGCCACTGAATATCAGAAAAGGAAATAAAATGTACAGACAAACTGGGCTCCTCTGACCTCACAGAATTTCATTAGCTATTTTCAATCTGAAATTTTTGTTAAAGTGGCTACACTTTGAGTAGACTTTTCTTAAAAGAATGGGCACATGAAGTCATGATATAGGCTAGCAAACACCACTTTAAGACTTTAATGAAGTTTATTGGTAACATTACTGACTGTCACTAACACTGGCTCATTTTATGATTAATGTCAATCTTATTCATTATATATTCCAACAAATAAAACGAAACATTTGGTCATTACTCAAGTACTTTGTCTTAATTTCTTACAAATTTTGTTGCAGAAAGTAGCTTTTAAATTAAGGTTCTATAAATGTAAATAAACAATGACCAATGAAATTTGATATATGATAAAGCAGAATTGAGAAATTTCAATGAAAGAAAACCAGCTTAGTAATGTCTATTCTGGCGATCTTAGGAGCTAGCTAACTAAAACTAAGAAATTGTACCATTTCCTGCTCTTTCGTATTTTCTCCATTCTTTTTCTTGTCCTCTTCTTTCTCAGTTTTCTTTTCTTCAGAAACCACGGGCTTCTTTTTGTCGGCCATGATTGCGGTGTTTACGCTTGCTTTGTTAGATGAACGCTTCTTAGGAAGGGAGGTAACTCCCTTTTACATTGTGTTGTACTTGTTTTGCTAAATTTTAGGTTCAAGACACTTCGACCAAAGCACTATAATTTAAGACGATTCGACCACTAACTTTGCTTCTGATAATTAGGGAGTAAAAAAGTAACAGAAAACAAACGATTTGCATATTCAATCTTTAATAAGAACAAAATAATAAGGCTGAAATTTTTCTAGAGAACTCAAATTGTAGAGTTTTGGGTAGGCATCATTTTTTAGGGAGGGAGGGGGGATTTTCTCAAACTGTTGGCTAATGAAGACGGGCCACATCATGCAGCATGCTACGAGAATAAGGGCCGTATGCTGTGGTCGAACTTTAGTCATACTTTACTCAAAGTCGAGCTTAAGTCAGACTTTAGGTATGCTGCGCTCGATCTTTGATGTAAGTCATGCTTTACTCGAGCGTTTTGTGGACAAAACTAAAGTAAAGTCTAAGATAGGGTGGTAGCAGACTTTAGCCGTACTTTATATACGTTTGCGATTGAAATTGTGACAATGGAAGATTATTTCAACCAATTACACCATAGATATTATAGATATTTACCATGTGGAGAGGAGATTTAAAGACCGCTCAAATCCAATGGAAGATCTAGACGAGAGTGAATTTACGAAATGCTTCAGATTTCCAAAGGATGGCGTTCTGCATATTTTTGAAATAATTTCAATCATCGATGTGACCAAACTGTACATATCCCACCATTACTATAGTTATTGGTATGTCTTCGTTGGTATGCTAGTGGCTCTTTCCAAATAAACGTGGGGGACATAATGGGCGTTCATCAATCCAGTGTCTCGGGCCGAATAGTGAAATTTGTATCAAGGGCTATAGCTATTCATAGGCCCGAGGTTATGTTTCCAGATGAAAATGAAATAAAAACAATACAACGAGGTTTTTACGACATTACGCAGTTTTCGGGGAAAATTGGAACAATTGGCTGTACACATGGAACAGTAAGTTGGGGTGTCTTCTTCTTGGTATTCCGAGGCGACGACATATTATTTGACATCTTGAATAATCAATCAAATTATGATTTGTAATGACCCTGATGCGTATTTATAAAGACTCCACGGAAAAGCACATGAGAAACATGCCAAATTCTTGCTGTCCGTAAGTGTACGATCAAAATTTTAGTTAAAATATGTATCAATCACTTTTTCTATTAATAAATATTAGAAATTAAATTATGATTCTTTGAGTTATCGTTGAGGTTCCGTACATACACAGAAGAAGTTAAACTTAGCAAAGATAAGTTTAAGTTGAAGCCATGCATACCGAAATGAATTAGTTACAAAGTCGAGCTCAGGCGAAACTTTACAAAGTCTGACTTTACCCGAAGTCTGACTTAGCGTTATGTTCGAGCGCAGCATACGGTCCTAAGTCTATTTTTATTTTTATTTCCTGCTGTCAAGAGAGATGATCAATGTGCACATCAATCACTTTTTTCCATCTCAGCCCCACTTATCTACATCACGGAATAGAATAGGTAGTAAAAGGCTATAGCTATGCTGAAATCAACCCTGAACTTGTAGATTAACGAGAGCTCGTCTTACTCACTTAGCAGCTAGGCCTACGATCAAACAGAAATGCCCAACGGCCCTCAGATTTCAGCTATCTGCAACTAGATGCCATATAGTTATTCCACAATAGCAGTGGTGGATAAATCAACAAACGGACAGAAGTATACACATGGGTACCGGACCGGCAACATATTACCAGATCGCGGTGGCTGGATCGGTGTCTTTGCTTCTCTTGGTCTTTGCTGTTCATATGCACCGAGTGTCACCAAGCTGCAGGCAATTGTCGCCATCAAAAGGATCGTTGACAGTTTACATATCTGTTCTTACTTTTCTTTTCAAGATATATGCGTAATTCAACATGATCCGAAACATCTGCCTCTATTCCAGAATCTGATAGATATGTTGACAGTTAAGCGAGCCGACAAAATAGTTTGGAAATAAGACAAATGTTTCGGTCGAGTTGTTCCCGATATTTTCTTATAATATAATTTAAAAAATTCCGATGTATTGATTGAGGACCGTTCCAGAAATAATATCGGAGCACCTGACTCTGGACCGGACAGATACTGGACCACTATAAATATATCGGACCACCCTTCAAAAGGCATCAATAAAAATATGACCATTTCTTTACATGCCGTATGGAACAGTGTGTGCACAATAGTCAAAAAAAACAAAGGTTTTATATTTAAATTAATTTATTTATTAGAAGAAAAATCCAAATAGCGGAATAATATAGACGCCCTATAGGATATCTAATATCTAGTAGGCTTCATTATGCTGATCTAGTCCCCCTGAAATAAGAAGATAAAAACCGAAATATATACATATATAGAATCTGAAACATGTTGTTACTCAGATTATCAAACCATGCGATCTTCAAACAAGTGACCTTTTCCTTACTGAAATTTGCACTTGTACTCTTTTCTGCGCATCGAGAGAAATATTACCTGCTATTTAAATTATTTCTTGTCGCAATAATCTTCATCAGTGCCGTCCCCACAATCGTCATTTCCGTCACATTTATAATCAATGGATAAACATTTATCATTACTACATTTAAATTCATCATTCGAACAATCGGAATCTACAAAACCAGAAAATAAATTAACAAATTAGATTTAAATCAGATTTCAGAGTCAAATGAGCTTAGCCTAAAGATATATCAAGATTTAGCGACCAAGTAGTACCATCAAGAAATGAAGTGAAGCTCCTCAGAAAAATATTATCAACAGACTTCATGATCACTGGACCACAAGTTCTCCCTTAAAAAGAATAACTGGTTTAGAAAGAAAATTAGAATCTAATATTGTACCTGAATGGAATGGATATGGTAGATGGTTTTCTTGCCCGTCCAGAATGTAATAATTACCACCAATAGATATTGGCAATTCACGATACTCCAGAGCAGGGTTGACAGAGAGATCGGTTAGTGGCTTATTGAAATTTGGAGCTATGTTGGATATTCCCGGTGTGATATCAATTGGTGATGGCATTGTGTTTAATTTCGCTGTGTCAGGAGGCACTATTCTTGGATCTGGAAAGGCTTTTGTCAAATCGTTTTGTCCAAGTGTAAAAGTGACGGCAGTGTCCTTTGGATCGGCTGCTTCAGGAGTGATCATCCTTGAATCGGGGAAGGGTTTTGTTAAAACATTTTGTCCAAGAGTAGAACTGACGGCAGTGTCCTTTGGATCGGCTGCTTCAGGAGTGATCATCCTTGAATCGGGGAAGGGCTTTGTTAAAACATTTTGTCCACGAGAAGAACTGACGGCAGTGTCCTTTGGATCGGCTGCTTCAGGAGTGATCATCCTTGAATCGGGGAAGGGCTTTGTTAAAACATTTTGTCCAAGAGTAGAACTGACGGCAGTGTCTTTTGGATCGGCTGCTTCAGGAGTGATCATCCTTGAATCGGGGAAGGGTTTTGTTAAAACATTTTGACCAAGAGTAGAACTGACGGCAGTGTCCTTTGGATCGGCTGCTTCAGGAGTGATCATCCTTGAATCGTGGAAGGGTTTTGTTAAAACATTTTGACCAAGAGTAGAACTGACGGCAGTGTCCTTTGGATCGGATGCTTCTGGAGTGATCATCCTTGAATCGGGGAAGGGTTTTGTTAAAACATTTTGACCAAGAGTAGAACTGACGGCAGAGTCCTTTGGATCGGATGCTTCAGGAGTGACCATCCTTGAATCGGGTAAGGGTTTTGTTGAAACATTTTGACCAAGAGTAGAACTGACGGCAGTGTCCTTTGGATCGACTGCTTCGGGAGTGATCATCCTTGAATCGGTGAGAGGTTTTGTTGAATCATTTTGACCAAGAGTAGAACTGACGGCAGTGTCCTTTGGATCGGATGCTTCAGGAGTGATCATCCTTGAATCGGGGAAGGGTTTGGTTAAAACATTTTGACCAAGAGTAGAACTGACGGTAGTGTCCTTTGGATCGGCTGCTTCAGGAGTGATCATCCTTGAATCGGGGAAGGGTTTCGTTAAAACATTTTGACCAAGAGTAGAACTGACGGCAGTGTCCTTTGGATCGGCTGCTTCAGGAGTGATCATCCTTGAATCGGTGAGAAGTTTTGTTAAATCATTTTGTCCAAGAGTAGAACTGACGGCAGGGTCCTTTGGATCGGATGCTTCAGGAGTGATCATCCTTGAATCGGTGAGAAGTTTTGTTAAATCATTTTGATCAAGAGTAGAACTGACGGCAGGGTCCTTTGGATCGGATGCTTCAGGAGTGATCATCCTTGAATCGGGGAAGGGTTTTGTTAAAACATTTTGGCCAAGAGTAGAACTGACGGCAGTGTCCTTTGGATCGGCTGCTTCAGGAGTGATCATCCTTGAATCGGTGAGAAATTTTGTTAAATCATTTTGACCAAGAGTAGAACTGACGGCAGGGTCCTTTGGATCGGATGCTTCAGGAGTGATCATCCTTGAATCGGGGAAGGGTTTTGTTAAATCATTTTGACCAAGAGTAGAACTGACGGCAGTGTCCTTTGGATCGGCTGCTTCAGGAGTGATCATCCTTGAATCGGGGAAGAGTTTTGTTAAAACATTTTGGCCAAGAGTAGAACTGACGGCAGGGTCCTTTGGATCAGCTGTGCCTGTATTAGGAGTTATCATACTGGGATTGGGATAAGGTTTTGTGGAACTGGTTACTAATAGAGTGGTAGCTGGATTGTAGATAACTGGTGAAGGCACCACGTTAAACGTTTGAGATTTAGGAGAGACGACTGTATCCGATTTATCCGGTGCTGTATTATAAATCATCGGTTGTTTGTCGGTATAAGGGAGAACAGGTGCTTGCTTCAAGTCATATGGATTTTGAGATATCTCCCCAATACTAGCATCGACTTTAAATGTATCTGCTTCTGATATTGGTAGACTCAAGACTTTCTTAGCTTCATTAACAACACCAAGCATGTTTCTCAAGGTCTCTGTTACCTCCCCTGGAAGTCCTGTTTTACGATTTAATTCACCGACGATGGAGAGTATATCATTCAGGATAAGCTGTTCTTCTGGAATGGTTGGAGTTCTTTCCACTGTGTCTTGAGATTTAATCAACTTCGAAATTTGATCAAATACTGGGATAATGTCCACTCTTTCAGTCGGTGCAACCAATTTAATGGTTTCTAACAGTGAACCAAGCTGATCTAAAATTGACTTGACCTTTGGTATCTCTGACACTGGAATCTTTGATCTTATATCCTCGATGATCTCAAGCAAAAGATCATGAACTGGTGCAAGTTTAGCACCTCTTCCCGTATTATAGGAAGACTTGATTTCGGTTATTGAAGCATATAGTTGATTTAAGACAGGTAGTAATTTTCTAATGGAGAGAACCTTTGTCTGTTTAGCTAGAGAGTACAGATTTTCAAGTAATGGGTACATTGAAGATGACAACCCTTCTAATTTTCTAGCTTTTGAGACTATAGTATAGAAGCGATTGATTTGAGGTTCCATACTAATAATCAGAAGTAATTTCGTCTTCTCTCTTTCAATTGTCGACATGAGTTTTGTAACTTCGTCCATGAGCCCAGGATTTGAACTAAGGTAAACAATTGTCTGCTTCAAAATAGTAATAACTCGATCTAAAACTATGACGGTCTTGGATGGAGTCTGTGCATACAAGACAGATTCATCAAAGATGGCGATGGCGTTATTCAACAAGGTTATGGCTCCGACTGGTACACCCGGCATCCTCCTGATCAAAGTGGAAGAATACAGTATCTCCTCCAGGATGTAATAAGCCGAAGGACGAAGTCCACTATCTTTTCTGATTATCTCAACAACCTGAATAATTCTATCCAGAAGATAGGACACTTCACTTGGTAAACCTTGTACCTTGGTCAGGATTATGAGTATATTCAATATACGCTCTTCAATTAACTCTAATGACGAGTCTTTTCCCGAGTAGCGTCTGATCTCATAAACTATGGACAAGATGTCATCTAACAATAGATAAACGTCTGTAACGGGTACAACCAGCTTTTTGATCTTTTGATACAAAAGAACTGTTTCATCAACCAGATAATGGACATCTGTTGGTAATCCAGGAGCCATCTTCACCGAACTGACCACCTGAAGGATTTCATCAAGCCGCTGATATAGCTCTGCCGGTTGGGTCAGTACAGGGATTAGTTCTGCTACCTTTATTGCTTTTTCGACAATTGGATTCAGCTTCACTGGTAAACCGTTATTTCTTCTGATTTGGATCAAATTGAAAGTCAATTTCTCTATCAATGGTAGATGCTGTCCATAATCCAACTTTGTTTCCAGGATTAGCAATACTAATCTATCTAGTAGTGGGTGAGTAACTGAAGGGAGCCCTGGTTGATATTTAAAACACTTTACAAGATACACCACTTGGTCTAATAGATACTGAACTTCAGATGGTACTTTGGATATTTTTGCCAGTTCATCTATGATAGACAGGATGTCATCAATTGGGAGTTTGGTGGGAGCTCTCGTGGATAATAAACGAAGAACATTATCCAATAGTGGTATAGCATTTAAGGGAAGTCCAGGATACTCCTTAACTTTGATGATTATCAGCTGGATGTATGGTCTTGTATCTAGGTACCAGGCCACCCCTGTAGGCTTATTATTCAAAACTGTGTAGATTTCGTTAATAAGGCTTTTAACCGATGTCGGTAGACCCAATAAGCTATTTAATTGATTTATCAGCTTCATAACGCCTTGATATCGTTTGATGTCTTCCGCTGAATCTTTTGGTGAATTGTTGAGACCATATATGATTGTAATTATTCGATCTAAAAGTTGCTGTACTTGCAAAGGAGCTGTAGAGGTCTTCTTGTACTGGTCTATTAAACCCCAGAGGCGTCCTAAAACTGATCGGATGTAACTGATATCGTGTGATATTTCTTCCAAAACACAGCGGATTCTATCAACATAACACTTTGCTTCCTTTTGTAAACTAGAACTCTTTCCAAGCTCTTTCAGTTTCGGATTGATGCTGATAATTATGCCAATAGTGTCTGAAGAAACTCCGGAATCGATTTTCAACTTTTTTGCAATTGCAGTTATCTGATCAAGAACTTGGTAGACGGAGGGCTGAAGTCCGGGCACCTGTTTCGACAAATGCACCAACTCATCCAAAAGACCTGCTACGTAGGAGTAATCACGGATGGCTACCACTATCAGATCCAACTGCGCCGATGCATCGTTTATCAATAGACCTTTCCCTCTTATTTGGTCAATTATTGGTAAGATGCTTCTCAAAAGCTGTGATTTCTTCCACGGTTCAACGGATTTAACAGCTTCGCCTAAAATGTTCTTTATATCATCCATAAGATACATAATAGAATCTGGAATTTTCTGAAGTTTAGTGAGACACTTAATGATGAAGATGATTCTATCAACATAAGGATCGGGTTCAGGTAGATTCTTAATTTCACTGACTATCATCTCAATATTTTCTAACATCGGACTTACTGCTGCTGTAAGCTTAGGCACCTTCCTCATTTGTTCAACAGTGGAGAGGATGTCTTTCAAGGGCTGGTAAATATTCTGGAAACGGATTATTTCCAACACTGCAGCTGACAATCTGTTCACCAAAGATACAGCTTCTGCAGGTAGACCTTTTACAGATGATATATCTTCTACGGTTACGGATAAGCGATCAAGAAGATCATGGATGTTTGGCTCAGCTGGTTGCTGTGGTAGAAGTTCTCTTACAATCGCCAAAATACTGTTTAAATATCCATCTACACCCTTTGGTACATTTTGAATCTTTTTGATCGTTTCAATGATCTTAAACATTTCGTCCAATCGGTCGATCACATCTTCAGGATTACCTTCGTAAAACTTCACTGAGTTGACAACTGATTCTATAGACTCTAGAAAAGGAACAACTTTGCTTGGTAAAGAAGGGACAATCTTTATATCTTTGAGTGCAGATGAAATGCTATCTAAGAGGGTAATAAGCGGGCTTGGTGGTTCAACGAGTCGTTTGATTTGACCAATTATCAAATAGAGCTCTACAAAAAGCCGTGCTTTGGAAGGCATGCGTGGTGATTCTTTGATGCTTTTCAAAATAGGTTCCACACGACCTAATGTTGTACGGACTTGTATAGGAAAGAATATTTTGCCCTTTCGTATCAGTTCAGCAACATCATCAAGTTTGTCTTCACTGTCCTTTGGGATTCCTGGTACATTCGTCAGCTGATGCAAAATAGATACAACTCTGTCATATAACACGCCAATATCAGATGAAGACTTAGGGTTCAGTGGTGTCAATTTAAAGAGTATGTCATTTAGAACACTGACATTATACAGGGCTTTGTCGGGGAGATCTTTTATACTCTTTAGCTCTTCAATTGTATCATATACAGCACCGAGAAGATTATTAAGCTGTTGGGAGAAGTTCGGATCGTTGCTGGCAGTCTGCAAAAGATTTCGTATGTTATCAAGTATGGCGAGGGCTAGTGGTGGCAGAAAGGGAACCGCCTTGACATCATCAACGGCTGATAAAGCCTCCTTCAACAATTTCTTGATTACCATTGATTCAGATACTTCTTCCTCGATATCTTCCAATATCTCGTCAATGCGATCTAACATTGAGCTGGTAGAATATAATGGACCAATCGTCTTTCTGATCTCCTGAATGGTGACAATTAGTGACTTTATCAACGTATCCAATTTATCTGGGTCTTTGCTTGACTTTCTGATATCATCGATGATGGAAAACATTTGATTTAATATTACACCGAATTTGGGTGGGAATCCAGCATTTCTTACGATGACAACGATACGATCAACAGCCAAAAGGATATCTTTGGGAAACCTGACAATGATCTTTTCAATTTGCTTTGCGACGATGAGAACGCTAGTCATTAAGGGTTGGACTTTTCTAATGGAGTTTTCCGGCAAATTGTTTGTGATTTGATCCAATATCGAGGCAATCGTGTCCAGTTTTTGGGATAATTCAGATGTGTCTTGTAAGGTAATAATGAACGTCATCTTCTCAATAATGATGCCTATGGTCTCCAGAGTAGGTCCTAACAGAGTCAAGTCCCGAGGTAATAAGCTGCTCTGAATTTTTGTCAAGCTGATCAATATTCTATCAACTCTTGGTGCGATGATGAAGGGATCCTTTCTGTATTCATCGATTTGCTTAATTTCATTGAGAATTTTATCCAGGATTGGGTAAATGACTTCAGTGCTTTCGGTTGGGTTATTTCTCTTTAACGTTTCTAGGACTTCCAAGATTTGACCAAGTTGTGATGACACCATTGTAGGACTTTCCGATGGTTTTTTCTTAATTTCATCAAGGATTGGTAAAATGTCGTTTAAAACTGGAGAAAAGTTTGTTATTTCAGGACTTGACAACGTGGATTGGATTTGGTTCAAAGTTGATAAAATTTGTTGAAATATGGGTTGGACGTCTTGAACTGAAGATTCTGGTTTGTTTTTGATGCCCTCTAAGAGTGGTAAAATCTGACTTAATATTGGTAAATAGTTATCTTTAGGTTTGTTTTTGTAAATTTCAATGATTCTGGTTTCGAGAATGATGATTTTATCTAGTCTAGAAACTATGTCTTTTACTCGGGAATTTGGGGACTTATTTATGTCGTTCAGAATACCAAGAATATCGCTAAGTATGCGCGAAACACTATCTTTCTTAGCTTTTGGTAGTTGTTCCTTTAGGAAGTCCAATCTAGATTTGATGCGATCGAGTAGAGGCAATACGTCGCTGATTTTTGAATCTGGTTTCTTCTTTAATTCATCTAGAAGAGGTAAAATTTTGT